GGATTGAAATCCATGGAAGCACTGTACAGCTGTTTCATCCTCTAAGGGACTCGACTCATCAGCAGTGCACATCGACCGAGCCCCCACGGGCACTTCAACAACCGGTGAACCATTGTGAATCGAACAACTTAACAACACAAGGCTATCCGGGATGAGTATCAACGCTTTGTTCAACATCTACACTACATGATATAGCACCCTTCCCAAACTGGCTTCAAATTTGAATGGTAAGAACCAGCTTCGCGCACACCGATCGACTCCTATGATGGATGACTTCTCTGTAGGGGCCTAAGCACAACCAACGCATTCCCAAATGAACAACCTACACAGCTTCCTTACTATGCATGCAATTGATTAGTAGTACGAGATTAGATCAGATCAGATTAGATTTGTATAATATGATTGATCATGCAGCTTGAACGCTCAACTGAGCATTGAAATCCATGGAAGCACTGTACAGCTGTTTCATCCCCTAAGTGGCTCGACTCATCAGCAGTGCACATCGACCGAGCCCCCACGAGCACTCCAACAACCGGTGAACCATTGTGAATTGAACAACTTAACAACACAAGGCTATCCGGGATGGCTATCAACGCTTTGTTCAACATCTACACTACATGATATAGCACCCTTCCCAAACTCGCTTTAAATTTGAATGGTAAGAACCAGCTTCGCGCACACCGATCGACTCCTATGATGGATGACTTCTCTGTAGGGGCCTAAGTACAACCAACGCATTCCCAAATGAACAACCTACACAGCTTCCTTACTATGCATGCAATTGATTAGTAGTACGAGATAAGTTCATATTAGATTAGATTTGTATAATATGATTGATCATGCAGCTTGAACGCTCAACTGAGCATTGAAATCCATGGAAGCACTGTACAGCTGTTTCATCCTCTAAGGGACTCGACTCATCAGCAGTGCACATCGACCGAGCCCCCACGGGCATTCCAACAACCGATGAACCATTGTGAATCGAACAACTTAACAACACAAGGCTATCCGGGATGGCTATCAACGCTTTGTTCAACATCTACACTACATCATATATAGCACTCTCCCCAAAACTGGCTTCAAATTTGAATGGTAACAACCAGCTTCGCGCACACCGATCGACTCCTATGATGGATGACTTCTCTGTAGGGGCCTAAGTACAACCAACGCATTCCCAAATGATTAACCTACACAGCTTCCTTACTATGCATGCAATAATTAGTAGTACGAGATTAGATTAGATTAGATTAGATTAGATTTGTACAATAAGATCAATCATGCAGCTTGAACCCTCAACCGAGCATTGAAATCCATGGAAGCACTGTACAGCTGTTTCATCCTCTAAGGGACTCGACTCATCAGCAGTGCACATCGACCGAGCCCCCACGGGCACTCCAACAACCGGTGAACCATTGTGAATCGAACAACTTAACAACACAAGGCTATCCGGGATGGCTCTCAACGCTTTGTTCAACATCTACACTACATGATATAGTACCCTTCCCAAACTCGCTTTAAATTTGAATGGTAAGAATCAGCTTCGCGCACACCGATCGACTCTTATGATGGATGACTTCTCTGTAGGGGCCTAAGTACAACCAACGCATTCCCAAATGAACAACCTACACAGCTTCCTTACTATGCATGCAATTGATTAGTAGTACGAGATTAGATCAGATTAGATTAGATTTGTATAATATGATTGATCATGCAGCTTGAACGCTCAACTGAGCATTGAAATCCATGGAAGCACTGTACAGCTGTTTCATCCCCTAAGGGACTCGACTCATCAGCAGTGCACATCGACCGAGCCCCCACGGGCACTCCAACAACCGGTGAACCATTGTGAATCGAACAACTTGACAACACAAGGCTATCCGGGATGGCTCTCAACGCTTTGTTCAACATCTACACTACATGATATAGCACTCTTCCCAAACTCGCTTCAAATTTGAATGGTAACAACCAGCTTCGCGCACACCGATCCACTCCTATGATGGATGACTTCTCTGTAGGGGCCTAAGTACAACCAACGCATTCCCAAATGAACAACCTACACAGCTTCCTTACTATGCATGCAATTGATTAGTAGTACGAGATTAGATCAGATTAGATTAGATTTGTATAATATGATTGATCATGCAGCTTGAACGCTCAACTGAGCATTGAAATCCATGGAAGCACTGTACAGCTGTTTCATCCTCTAAGGGACTCGACTCATCAGCAGTGCACATCGACCGAGCAACCACGGGCACTCCAACAACCGGTGAACCATTGTGAATCGAACAACTTACCAACACAAGGCTATCCGGGATGGCTCTCAACGCTTTGTTCAACATCTACACTACATCATATATAGCACCCTTCCCAAACTCGCTTCAAATTTGAATGGTAAGAACCAGCTTCGCGCACACCGATCGACTCCTATGATGGATGACTTCTCTGTAGGGGCCTAAGTACAACCAACGCATTCCCAAATGAACAACCTACACAGCTTCCTTACTATGCATGCAATTGATTATTAGTACGAGATTAGATTAGATTAGATTAGATTTGTACAATATGATTAATCATGCAGCTTGAACGCTCAACTGAGCATTGAAATCCATGGAAGCACTGTACAGCTGTTTCATCCTCTAAGGGACTCGACTCATCAGCAGTGCACATCGACCGAGCCCCCACGGGCACTCCAACAACCGGTGAACCATTGTGAATCGAACAACTTAACAACACAAGGCTATCCGGGATGGCTATCAACGCTTTCTTCATCATCTACACTACATGATATAGCACCCTTCCCAAACTCGCTTCCAATTTGAATGGTAAGAACCAGCATCGCGCACACCGATCGACTCCTATGATGGATGACTTCTCTGTAGGGGCCTAAGTACAACCAACGCATTCCCAAATGAACAACCTCCACAGCTTCCTTACTATGCATGCAATTGATTAGTAGTACGAGATTAGATTAGATCAGATTAGATTTGTATCATATGATTGATCATGCAGCTTGAACGCTCAACTGAGCATTGAAATCCATGGAAGCACTGTACAGCTGTTTCATCCTCTAAGGGACTCGACTCATCAGCAGTGCACATCGACCGAGCCCCCACGGGCACTCCGACAACCGGTGAACCATTGTGAATCGAACAATTTTTCAAAACAAGGATCTCCCGGATAGCTCTCAACGCTTTGTTCAACATCTACACTACATGATATAGCACCCTTCCCAAACTCGCTTCCAATTTGAATGGTAAGAACCAGCTTCGCGCACACCGATCGACTCCTATGATGGATGACTTCTCTGTAGGGGCCTAAGTACAACCAACGCATTCCCAAATGAACAACCTACACAGCTTCCTTACTATGCATGCAATTGATTATTAGTACGAGATTAGATTAGATTAGATTAGATTTGTACAATATGATTAATCATGCAGCTTGAACGCTCAACTGAGCATTGAAATCCATGGAAGCACTGCACAATTGTTTCATCCTCTAAGGGACTCGACTCATCAGCAGTGCACATCGACCGAGCCCCCACGGGCACTCCAACAACCGGTGAACCATTGTGAATCGAACAACTTAACAACACAAGGCTATCCGGGATGGCTATCAACGCTTTCTTCATCATCTACACTACATGATATAGCACCCTTCCCAAACTCGCTTCCAATTTGAATGGTAAGAACCAGCATCGCGCACACCGATCGACTCCTATGATGGATGACTTCTCTGTAGGGGCCTAAGTACAACCAACGCATTCCCAAATGAACAACCTCCACAGCTTCCTTACTATGCATGCAATTGATTAGTAGTACGAGATTAGATTAGATCAGATTAGATTTGTATCATATGATTGATCATGCAGCTTGAACGCTCAACTGAGCATTGAAATCCATGGAAGCACTGTACAGCTGTTTCATCCTCTAAGGGACTCGACTCATCAGCAGTGCACATCGACCGAGCCCCCACGGGCACTCCGACAACCGGTGAACCATTGTGAATCGAACAATTTTTCAAAACAAGGATCTCCCGGATAGCTCTCAACGCTTTGTTCAACATCTACACTACATGATATAGCACCCTTCCCAAACTCGCTTCCAATTTGAATGGTAAGAACCAGCTTCGCGCACACCGATCGACTCCTATGATGGATGACTTCTCTGTAGGGGCCTTAGTACAACCAACGCATTCCCAAATGAACAACCTACACAGCTTCCTTACTATGCATGCAATTGATTAGTAGTACGAGATTAGATCAGATTAGATTAGATTTGTATAATATGATTGATCATGCAGCTTGAACGCTCAACTGGGCATTGAAATCCATGGAAGCACTGTACAGCTGTTTCATCCTCTAAGGGACTCGACTCATCAGCAGTGCACATCGACCGAGCCCCCACGGGCACTCCAACAACCGGTGAACCATTGTGAATCGAACAACTTAACAACACAAGGCTATCCGGGATGACTATCAACGCTTTGTTCAACATCTACACTACATGATATAGCACCCTTCCTAAACTCGCTTCAAATTTGAATGGTAAGAACCAGCTTCGCGCACACCGATCGACTCCTATGATGGATGACTTCTCTGTAGGGGCCTAAGTACAACCAACGCATTCCCAAATGAACAACCTACACAGCTTCCTTACTATGCATGCAATTGATTAGTAGTGTTATAATCCACAAGACGTGCCTGGGTGAATAGGTTGTTTATTGCCATCAACGTGTTCGGACATTGACAAAACAACACAAACGTTACAAACATCCTCATTTGCCAAATGGCTGTCCTGTTCACTTGAAAGCAGTCATCGTCCAACGGAGGAGCAGTCAGGGGTTTGCAGATTGTCGCTCACCTTATTGCGCCTGGATTGCTGAACTTAGCTGTGTTCGTTAATCCACAATTGTCCATAGTTCTGTCTTCAGCAATCAACTACTTAATAACTAGTATATACACTCACAACACTCCTCCCCCCTGACAAAAAAAGGACGAATCAAATCCTGCAGACTGTCTTCAAGTCTTTCTCTATTCCGAGGTTCATACCTCCAACCCCGGTTCGTGGTGGTGTTGTCATCCGTCCCACAGTTCCTCCGGTGGTATGCTTTTTCCGGTCCGTGATACACACCGACACCAGCCTTGTTTCTAGATGGCAACAGTGAAGAGTGAATACTGAACACAACACCTGACTTTTATCGCACGTCACCACGACATCGTGCCTGACCACTTCAAAGCTACTGAGCACCATGCGTTGTGTCATTCCACTATCATCCTGGATATGACTTCCAGCAGTCTCCTTCCGGGATGCATAAGGTTGGACTTCATCGCCCGGCACTTGCTCAGGTAGCGGGTAAACGTCTTCTGTTTCCACTTTGCAAGGCGCCTTAGTTTCACACTGCGCACGACATGACCCGTAGTCTCTCAATGCAATGGCAACTGCAGCAAATGACATGTCTTCGCTTCCACCATCATCCGGTTGACTTTCAGAGCAATCCCGGTTACAGTTTTCCACATTTTCAGGGATATGGTTCAGTAGCCCGACATCTTCCACCTCGTCAGAAGTGATTGAAGTCTCCAGCATGAATGTATCCGGTATACTTCCTTCAATGTCCTTCGGGCTAAGCTCATTTCGGTCTCGAATTTCGACTCCAGTCTGAGTTTCCTCATATCTTGCAGCTTCAGTGACTGTGATATTAGACAACATGTCTTCGGTTTCCTCGGCATAATGTTCATGTTCAAGGCAACCTGGGTAGCAATCTTCCGCATTTTCACGGATTTGGTTCGATTTTTCACAGTTCGCCAGCTCATCGGTAATGGTTGAATTCTCGAGCAGTGATACTTCTGGTGCAACCTTTTCGATGTTCTGCTGATATTCAGGATATTCGTCCAAAACAGGTTCCACATTTCCACAGCAGAAACACCCGGCTTCTTCCAACTGTCTGGCTTCCACTGTTCTGTCCTCCGTGCTCAAAATTTCTGGACCGTACGCCTTCTCCACACGATCCCTGTTCCTCCATGAATCCCCCGACATGGGCCGTATTGACCACAGGCACGCCAATCATGGCCAGTTCCCGAACCACATCCGCGAGCTGGACCAAATTCAATGAACGGCCGACACGGGCGACGCGTACCATCCCACGCAGGGGCTCCGGCAGACTATCCACAAATCGGTCCGCCAACAGGTCTGCCCGTGACGCCTCATCCAGCGTCGGCAACGCACGTTCCAGGAGTGAGCGGAGCGCGACGGCGTGCACCAGCGGATCCGTACCAACCTCCAGCTGGGCAGCCTTGAACCGGCGCATAGCGTCTTGGCGGTCGGCCGGGGTATCTAGTCCTGCAATCAGGGCGTCTTTTGCGGCGGCCCACTTCAGCTCCTTCGGGCCCCTTCGTGCCGCATCCAGCACCGCCCGCGGCCTGCCCTTGAGAAGCGCTCGAAGGGCCGTCAACTTACCCCGGTCCGACTGGATCCCCGAGAGCTCCGCCAGATCCTCGAAATCCTCCAGGAAGGTCCGTATGTCGCCATCCTCAAACGGCTCCGGCCATGGTAGATCCATCCTGGTCACGGCACCAAATGTTATAATCCACAAGACGTGCCTGGGTGAATAGGTTGTTTATTGCCATCAACGTGTTCGGACATTGACAAAACAACACAAACGTTACAAACATCCTCATTTGCCAAATGGCTGTCCTGTTCACTTGAAAACAGTCATCGTCCAACGGAGGAGCAGTCAGGTGGTTTGCCGATTGTCGCTTACCTTATTGCGCCTGGATTGCTGAACTTAGCTGTGTTCGTTAATCCACAATTGTCCATAGTTCTGTCTTCAGCAATCAACTACTTAATAACTAGTATATACACTCACAACAGTAGTACGAGATTAGATTAGATTAGATTAGATTTGTACAATATGATTAATCATGCAGCTTGAACGCTCAACTGAGCATTGAAATCCATGGAAGCACTGTACAGCTGTTTCATCCTCTAAGGGACTCGACTCATCAGCAGTGCACATCGACCGAGCCCCCACGAGCACTCCAACAACCGGTGAACCATTGTGAATCGAACAACTTAACAACACAAGGCTATCCGGGATGGCTCTCAACGCTTTGTTCAACATCTACACTACATCATATATAGCAAAATTCCCAAACTCGCTTTAAATTTGAATGGTAAGAACCAGCTTCGCGCACACCGATCGACTCCTATGATGAATGACTTCTCTGTAGGGGCCTAAGTACAACCAACGCATTCCCAAATGAACAACCTACACAGCTTCCTTACTATGCATGCAATTGATTAGTAGTACGAGATTAGATCAGATTAGATTAGATTTGTATAATATGATTGATCATGCAGCTTGAACGCTCAACTGAGCATTGAAATCCATGGAAGCACTGTACAGCTGTTTCATCCTCTAAGGGACTCGACTCATCAGCAGTGCACATCGACCGAGCCCCCACGAGCACTCCGACAACCGGTGAACCATTGTGAATCGAACAACTTAACAACACAAGGCTATCCGGGATGGCTCTCAACGCTTTGTTCAACATCTACACTACATCATATATAGCAAAATTCCCAAACTCGCTTTAAATTTGAATGGTAAGAACCAGCTTCGCGCACACCGATCGACTCCTATGATGAATGACTTCTCTGTAGGGGCCTAAGTACAACCAACGCATTCCCAAATGAACAACCTACACAGCTTCCTTACTATGCATGCAATTGATTAGTAGTACGAGATTAGATTAGATTAGATTAGATTAGATTTGTATAATATGATTGATCATGCAGCTTGAACGCTCAACTGAGCATTGAAATCCATGGAAGCACTGCACAATTGTTTCATCCTCTAGGGGACTCGACTCATCAGCAGTGCACATCGACCGAGCCCCCACGGGCACTCCAACAACCGGTGAACCATTGTGAATCGAACAACTTAACAACACAAGGCTATCCGGGATGGCTATCAACGCTTTCTTCATCATCTACACTACATGATATAGCACCCTTCCCAAACTCGCTTCCAATTTGAGTGGTAAGAACCAGCATCGCGCACACCGATCGACTCCTATGATGGATGACTTCTCTGTAGGGGCCTAAGTACAACCAACGCATTCCCAAATGAACAACCTACACAGCTTCCTTACTATGCATGCAATTGATTAGTAGTACGAGATTAGATTAGATTAGATTAGATTTGTATAATATGATTGATCATGCAGCTTGAACGCTCAACTGAGCATTGAAATCCATGGAAGCACTGTACAGCTGTTTCATCCTCTAAGGGACTCGACTCATCAGCAGTGCACATCGACCGAGCCCCCACGGGCACTCCAACAACCGGTGAACTATTGTGAATCGAACAATTTTTCAAAAGAAGGATCTCCCGGATAGCTCTCAACGCTTTGTTCATCATCTACACTACATGATATAGCACCGTTCCCAAACTCGCTTCAAATCTGAATGGTAAGAACCAGCTTCGCGCACACCGATAGACTCCTATGATGGATGACTTCTCTGTAGGGGCCTAAGTACAACCAACGCATTCCCAAATGAACAACCTACACAGCTTTCTTACTATGCATGCAATTGATTAGTAGTACGAGATTAGATCAGATTAGATTAGATTTGTATAATATGATTGATCATGCAGCTTGAACGCTCAACTGAGCATTGAAATCCATGGAAGCACTGCACAATTGTTTCATCCTCTAGGGGACTCGACTCATCAGCAGTGCACATCGACCGAGCAACCACGGGCACTCCAACAACCGGTGAACCATTGTGAATCGAACAACTTAACAACACAAGGCTATCCCGGATGACTATCAACGCTTTGTTCAACATCTACACTACATGATATAGCACCCTTCCCAAACTCGCTTCAAATTTGAATGGTAAGAACCAGCTTCGCGCACACCGATCGACTCCTATGATGGATGACTTCTCTGTAGGGGCCTAAGTACAACCAACGCATTCCCAAATGAACAACCTACACAGCTTCCTTACTATGCATGCAATTGATTAGTAGTACGAGATTAGATCAGATTAGATTAGATTTGTATAATATGATTGATCATGCAGCTTGAACGCTCAACTGAGCATTGAAATCCATGGAAGCACTGTACAGCTGTTTCATCCTCTAAGGGACTCGACTCATCAGCAGTGCACATCGACCGAGCCCCCACGGGCATTCCAACAACCGGTGAACCATTGTGAATCGAACAACTTAACAACACAAGGCTATCCGGGATGGCTATCAACGCTTTGTTCAACATCTACACTACATGATATAGTACCCTTCCCAAACTCGCTTTAAATTTGAATGGTAAGAACCAGCTTCGCGCACACCGATCCACTCCTATGATGGATGACTTCTCTGTAGGGGCCTAAGTACAACCAACGCATTCCCAAATGAACAACCTACACAGCTTCCTTACTATGCATGCAATTGATTAGTAGTACGAGATTAGATTAGATTAGATTAGATTTGTATAATATGATTGATCATGCAGCTTGAACGCTCAACTGAGCATTGAAATCCATGGAAGCACTGTACAGCTGTTTCATCCTCTAAGGGACTCGACTCATCAGCAGTGCACATCGACCGAGCCCCCACGGGCACTCCAACAACCGGTGAACCATTGTGAATCGAACAACTTAACAACACAAGGCTATCCGGGATGGCTCTCAACGCGTTGTTCAACATCTACACTACATCATATATAGCAAAATTCCCAAACTCGCTTCAAATTTGAATGGTAAGAACCAGCTTCGCGCACACCGATCGACTCCTATGATGAATGACTTCTCTGTAGGGGCCTAAGTACAACCAACGCATTCCCAAATGAACAACCTACACAGCTTCCTTACTATGCATGCAATTGATTAGTAGTACGAGATTAGATTAGATTAGATTAGATTAGATTTGTATAATATGATTGATCATGCAGCTTGAACGCTCAACTGAGCATTGAAATCCATGGAAGCACTGCACAATTGTTTCATCCTTTAGGGGACTCGACTCATCAGCAGTGCACATCGACCGAGCCCCCACGGGCACTCCAACAACCGGTGAACCATTGTGAATCGAACAACTTAACAACACAAGGCTATCCGGGATGGCTATCAACGCTTTCTTCATCATCTACACTACATGATATAGCACCCTTCCCAAACTCGCTTCCAATTTGAATGGTAAGAACCAGCATCGCGCACACCGATCGACTCCTATGATGGATGACTTCTCTGTAGGGGCCTAAGTACAACCAACGCATTCCCAAATGAACAACCTACACAGCTTCCTTACTATGCATGCAATTGATTAGTAGTACGAGATTAGATTAGATTAGATTAGATTAGATTTGTATAATATGATTGATCATGCAGTCTGAACGCTCAACTGAGCATTGAAATCCATGGAAGCACTGTACAGCTGTTTCATCCTCTAAGGGACTCGACTCATCAGCAGTGCACATCGACCGAGCCCCCACGGGCATTCCAACAACCGGTGAACCATTGTGAATCGAACAACTTAACAACACAAGGCTATCCGGGATGGCTATCAACGCGTTGTTCAACATCTACACTACATCATATATAGCACTCTCCCCAAACTGGCTTAAAATTTGAATGGTAAGAACCAGCTTCGCGCACACCGATCGACTCCTATGATGGATGACTTCTCTGTAGGGGCCTAAGTACAACCAACGCATTCCCAAATGAACAACCTACACAGCTTCCTTACTATGCATGCAATTGATTAGTAGTACGAGATTAGATTAGATTAGATTAGATTAGATTTGTATAATATGATTGATCATGCAGCTTGAACGCTCAACTGAGCATTGAAATCCATGGAAGCACTGTACAGCTGTTTCATCCTCTAAGGGACTCGACTCATCAGCAGTGCACATCGACCGAGCCCACACGGGCACTCCAACAACCGGTGATCCATTGTGAATCGAACAACTTAACAACACAAGGCTATCCGGGATGGCTCTCAACGCTTTGTTCAACATCTACACTACATCATATATAGCACTCTCCCCAAACTGGCTTCAAATTTGAATGGTAACAACCAGCTTCGCGCACACCGATCGACTCCTATGATGGATGACTTCTCTGTAGGGGCCTAAGTACAACCAACGCATTCCCAAATGAACAACCTACACAGCTTCCTTACTATGCATGCAATTGATTAGTAGTACGAGATTAGATTAGATTAGATTAGATTTGTATAATATGATTGATCATGCAGCTTGAACGCTCAACTGAGCATTGAAATCCATGGAAGCACTGTACAGCTGTTTCATCCTCTAAGGGACTCGACTCATCAGCAGTGCACATCGACCGAGCCCCCACGGGCACTCCGACAACCGGTGAACTATTGTGAATCGAACAATTTTTCAAAACAAGGATCTCCCGGATAGCTCTCAACGCTTTGTTCATCATCTACACTACATGATATAGCACCGTTCCCAAACTCGCTTCAAATTTGAATGGTAAGAACCAGCTTCGCGCACACCGATAGACTCCTATGATGGATGACTT